GCTGCAGTCAGCACTGGGTAAAACATGGTAATTTACTGATTAAAAGCGAATGGTAATATTAGAAACTTCAGCTGAGTAATGATGACACACACTTTTAATCCCAGCATTCAGGAGGCAGAGGCAGGCAGATATCTGTGAGTTTGAGGCCAGCCTGGTCTACAGATCAAGTTCCAGGACAGCCAGGGCTACACAGAGAAACCCTGTCTCAAAAACCAAAACCCCAAAAAATAGAAACATCAAAGTGACTATAACCTGCCTGTCATGCTTCAAACGAGAATATTCTAGCAGCCACTAGCAACACACTAGTAAATTTCACATAGAGTGGGTGAAAGCACCTATTTCTTATTCACACTGTAATAATGTGAAATGTTTGTGGGTTTAATACAACCACGTTTCAGCACCTTGGGGCAAAGCAGGCCCCGATACCAGCCCCACTGCATAGAGAGCAGCTTAGAAGGAAACATGTAATCCCAGAGCCGATTCCATTTTTGTGCCTTGATGTTTTTGGCAGGCTTCAGAGCAGCACGCAACCTGACAGGAGTAATGAATAAATAAACAGCAGTTCTGGGAATCTGCTACTGAGGGAGGCACAGATATTCTGAGCTATCAGATAAATATTCAAATGACAAAAGCTAACTGCTGATTGCCCCTCACGGGGCACCTTTTAGGAATGATCTCAACGGCATTCTGAGGGACTAATACTATAAGTTAAAGGCTTCATGTTCAGGGTCCTGGGAGGGTACCCCCAACCATCCATCACAGTCCTGCACATACCGCCACACTGACCCACCCACCCCCCATCTGTGGCCCTTGCATGCTCCACCACCATCCCAGAGATACTGACAGCTTTCCTACTCTTCCCCTATCACAGCTCTGAGGCAAGCTGAGCTGTCAACACTTTCCCAAAAGTATGTCAATTCCTTGCGACAGTTTCCAGTTTGATTTCAACTAGGGAGCGTTCCTGCTATATAAGGCAAAGTCCCTTGCTTGGTTGGTACAACTCAACAATCAAGTCTCAGAAAATAACCTTTCTCAAGTGCTCATGGAGTCCCAAGGCTAAGTGTCTCATCACTGTCCCAACCTTGAGAACTGTCTACAGACCCAGTACTAGCTGCTGGGTATTTTTAAATCTCCTAAGTGCCATTCACAGGATTAAACCAAAGTTTTAATCCCATCTCAGAGATAAAAAAGCTACATGAAGAGAAAGGGATCCAGGACTAAGCATAGCTGCAAATTCTGCAATCTTTTGGCTGATGAAAGCCTTGTTAATCCACATTTGAACCTGCCTAAGGCATACAGCGCACTCCTCAGCAAATCAAGTCAGTGCCCTACAGAGCTGTCCTCTCTAGCCTCTCAAATGAGCTCCACCCCCCGGGGGATGTGATGTCAGGGTAACAGTAACAGTTGATCTTATAATTAGAAGGAGGGGGGCTCTTTGTCACTTTAGAATCTATTTACTATCACAGAAATTAAACGCTGGGGGCCAGGTTACTTAATGGCATTACTTAACTACACCTCTTTAAATGTAAAACCAATATCGCCACCTAGTGGCCATCAGTGTCCTAACTCACTGAGTATATAAATGAAAGACAATAAAAATTAAATATACACTTTAAAACTAAAGAGAAGCAAAGAGTAAAAGAGCCAAATGCTTCAAACAAATGGAGATGCTTCCAAGATTGAAAAGTTAAGACAATACATCAATGGAAACATGGTCTCTAATATAGTATTTGGCTTTCCAATAGGTACTAGGCTGGGTGGCGGGGGTGGGGGGGTGGAGGAAAGGTCCTGCCTTGCTCTGATATTTGAACACAGGATACCAAGAACAGAGGTACCATGAAGAGACATTGGCAGGATGCCAGTCAGAACAGCAGGAACAGTGAGTGCATCTACAGATGAAATTTTCCATCACAGTGGACTGGGGTCACAAAAAATATTGACAGCTATTTTATTTTTATGACTATGTGTGTTTCTCTTATCTGTATATCTATGAATCACATATATAGAGATCCCACAGAGGCCAGAAGTAGGTGTCAGATCTCCTAAGAACAGAGTTACAGATGGTTGAGCCTCCATGGGGGGTGGGGGGGGATAGAACCCAGGTCCTCTGAAAGAGCAGCCAGTGCTCTTAACCACTGAGCCATCTCTCCAGCTCCCAGCCATTCTTTTTGAACAAAGAAACCTTAAAAGCATGATTAAGTGAAACAAGCCAGTTCCCAGGGGACAATTACTCCAAGACTTGCCCATCTAGGATACCCATAGCAATTATATTCAGAGACTAGAAGTTCAATGGTAGTTTCTGGGAGATGTAGGAAAAGGGTAGCAGGGAGTTGTTCAGAGGTTCACAGTATTCGTTTTACGGAATAGGGGGGCTCTGGAGATGTACTGCCAACAGGAATATACCTGACTGACTAAACTGTGCCCTTGAGATATTACTTTGTGGGCTGGAGTGATGGCTCAGCCATTAAATGCACTGGCTGCTCTTGCAGAAGACCTGGGTTTGGGACCCAATGCCCACAAGGTGGCTCACAACTATCTGTAGCTCCACTTTCAGGGGATCTGACGCTCTCTACTGGCCTCTGCACTGTGTGCGTGTGTGTGGTGCACAGACACGCATGCAGACAAAACATTCACTCATAGACATAAAATAAAACAAATATTTTTACAATTGTTTTAAAAGAAAGCAAACACCTATTACAACAGAAAAGAAAGCAACTCAGAGAAGAAAATGAATTTGGAGGAGTCAGGGTAAGCCACAAAAATATAGCTTGGTATGGAGTAATCAAAAGCTAATGGGATTCAACCTGTTCTCTGTTTTCAAAATCTGTGGGAAAGAAAGATAAATAGACAACACGCAGGCCTTGGAAGACAGCAAAACTCACCACTCTACCATCAACATGTGCACCTATGTGGATTATGTCACACTAGTGCAGTTACCATCCAAGGCCAGAAGATGGCTTCCCATCAACAGGTACCCAGAGGTCTCATCATCACTGTGAGCCAAGTCCCAGGAGCACTGCCCTGCTACAAAGTACCAGGGAGACTGCCAGATGCACACATTCACACAGGCATTCGTGCACATGCACACACACCAGGACATGAAGAGAAAGAACAGATTAGGTGGAGGTGAACGTGCAGAAGAGAAATAATGGAATGAATTCCATCACCAAGGCTTGGTTGGCACAGGGTGTCATCCACATTATCGACAAGGACCATAGTGCCATTTAAATAGATAGAGATCACATAAACACAAAATTGCCTCTGGGAGCAAGACACGGGCAGGAACACAAAGAAAAGTGTGTCCATGGTTGCCACGGGAGTAAGTGATCCAGTCTCGGTGTCTGACATCATCACTAAGGACACAAGGTCTGACTGGGGGAGTTCAGTAGATTCATGGCTGCCTGAGTCCAGGCCACTAGTGTTCCCTTCTCCTTTGTGGCACCCAACCCTGCCTCTCATCAGCTCCTCTAGTGGAGCAGACAGAGATAAGCAAGAGAGAGCACAGATGGGCAGTCTTGCCGGCCAAGGCAATTGATGCAGAGAGAGGGGACTTGGAAGGGTGTGCGTGTGCATGTGTTTCTGGGCTTCTTAAAGAAAAAAAAATGTCCCCAGCCATGTTGGTGCACACCTTTAATCCCAGCACTCAGGAGGCTGGGGCAGGCAGATCTCTGTGAGTTCAAGGCCAGCCTGATCTTTATAACAAGTTCCAAGCCAGCCAGAGCTACACAGAGAGACTCTGCCTCAAAGGAAAAAGGAAGAGAAAAATAGAAAGAGGAAGAAGAGGAGTAAGAGGAGATGGAAGAAGAGGAGGGAGAAGGAGGGGAGGAGGAGGAAGGAGGGAAAGAGGCATGGAAAGAAGAGGAGAGAGGGAAAAAGGAAAAAGCATCTACAGACAGCAGACCTCCTTATCTTCAGTCTCGGGCCCACAAGGTCAACAGTGATGGAAAATACCATGCATAACTGTGTGCTATTCTGATATATATGGTAAAATGTGCTGTCTCAATGCTGCCAGGACACCCATCAGGCCTGTGTCCAGCACATCCTCACAGATTATGCTGTGGGTACTGGTAACTATCAGTCACATCAGGGTCAGAGCTGACTACTGTCACACTACAGTACTTGCATTCACATATCCCCTGATCCTCATCCAAAGCATCATGGTAACATGCTGACAACTCCATTACAGCATACTGTTCTAACTACTCTGCTTTTAGATACTGTCAGTCTCTTATTGTACTTAGTTTATAAATTAACTTTATCTTAGGAAGGTGTATGTGTGTGGGGGGGGGAGAGAGAGAGAGGGGAGAGAGAGAGAAAGTGTGTGTGTGTGTGTGTGTGTGTGTGTGTATGGAGAAAACATGGCAAATAGAATCTGGGTCTGTCTGTGGCTTTAGATACCCAATAGGAGGCTTGAACTATGTCCCCACCACATAAAGGGATGACCTACAAGAAAGTAGAGCTTGTTCAAACAACCTACATTATTCAGAACAACCTGAGACTCAGTTCACACCTCTTTCGAATGTCATCATTGTAGCTGGGTGTATATATTTTTCTCTTCATAATCCTGGGATATTACACTATAAATCAGATCAAAGGTTCAATTCATAACATCCAATTAAAAGAAAGCACAAGAAGAGACTCATAGAGAGCCTGTTACAGAAAGATTAATGAAAATGTTATTTCAACATGCAAATTGCCTTAGAACTTGTTACCAAAACTTTGCATGTTAATTATCTCTATTTCTTCTAAAATGTTTTTTCTTCTACTTTATTCTAATATGACAAAGCCATGGTAGTCCCATAAAATTACAAAACTCTTGTAATTAGATATATTCATACCACAAGAGAACACTTTCAGCAATATTCAACATTGAATTAGTACAAAGAATACAAAGAGTTATTCTTACCTAAATAAAATTGATTTTCTACAGATTCAGGAAAATATAAATATCTCAATACATACATAATGACCCCTGAATACACCAGGCCTTCTCTACATACCTTTGTCAGATTCGCAGCCTGCTGTAAGATGCTCCTTTTCAACTGCTCTGCTCTCTTGACATGAAAAGGGTTACTTTGACTCTGGATGACAAACACAATTTCTTTCAAGTCTAAAACAAACAAACAAAAAGTTCCCAAGTTGTTTAATGGTAATTAAAATAGACTTGAACATAAGTATAAGAGCACAATTTTTTTGTGTCTTTTTGCTTTTGTTTTTGGTTGGTTGGTTGGTTGGTTGGTTGGTTTTCTGAGACAGGATTTCTCTGTATTGCTTTGGAACCTGTCCTGAAACTTACTCTGTAGACCAAGCTGGCCTCAAACTCACAGAGATCTGCCTGCCTCTGCCTCCCAAGTACTGGGATTAAAGGCGTGTGTCACCAACACCCAGCTTACAAGCACAATTTTAAGACAAGCATTCAAGCAATAGGCTTTAAAGGGAAAATTCTGTAGTTTTAATATTCTACGTGCATGGGTGTTTTACCTACATGTGTGTATGTGCACCATGTGCATGCAGTGCCCACAGAGGCCAGAAAGGGAAGTCAGATCTCCTGGAACTGGAATTACATCAGATGTGAACCATCATGCAGATGCTGGGAACTGAACCCAAGTCTTCTGAGAGGGCAGCCAGTGCTCTTAACCACTGAGTCAGTTCACCAATCCCAGAAATTTTTTATTTATATAATTCTAGAACCAAAATCTACTTTTAGACAACATCCAAAACTTCCTTCCTAGGAGTAACAAACAAGCTTACTGCACTAAACCAAGCCTTGGGGAATAAACTATAATTTTGCCCCTGCATCTGCAAAACAAACCTGCCACACCACCAAGTGAATTTCCAATGGCCCCAACATAATGCTACACTGTGCTACGGGGTGGGTTGGGCCCCCTCCAAAAGGTATATGCTGAGTTCTAGCCCTCAGAGCATGATCCTGTTTGGAGTTGGATCTCCCAGAGTCATCAGGCTAAAGACAACAAACCATTTTGTTGTATGGCAAAAGACTGACACAATTTAGAGGAAGCAAAAGTTTCCTTTGGCTCCCCACACATGCTCACTTGTCCTGTGGTTTTTTGGACCCCAGCACAGTGCGTCATGGAATGTGTACTACATGGTGCCCCATTATGATTCAAATTTGAAAAGTCCTTCACAGGCTCCTTCCGAAAGTTTGGTCCCAGCTGCCACTGCTCCTGTGAGAGGCTGAGGGACCTTTATGACCATATTGAGCCTGCCTACAGAAGTAGGTCACTAGGGAGGGCCTCCGACAGTTATTCCTGGTCCCTGGCTCCTGGCCTGCATTCTGCTTCCTGACTGGCTGTGATTTTGAGGAGGCTTTGCATAGTCCCACCACTAAGAACTCTCCCATCTGTCTGACTGCTCTGATACCAAGAGCCCAGATAAAACTTCCCTCCTATAGAAGGTTTCTGCAAGGAACTGTGGTCACATGGGCACAAAAGTAACAAACATACCCCAGGGCCTACTCACCTCACTGAAGCCTAGGAAAAGACAGGAAGCAGCCAGGATCCCAATATCCCCTAAAAGACACGGCCCCAGTCACCTAGTTTCTCCCACTTCCTGAGGATGCTGGGGGCTGGTGACCAAGCCTTTAATTCATTGCTTTTGAGAGAATGTGTCATATCTAAACTACAGCAGCCATAGCAAACTAACATGCAAAACGCTTCAAGAATGCTCCAGATGGCCTTTTACGGTGATACTTAAAAAGTGGCTGTCTATATCCCATGAGGTCACAAGGATTTTCAAATAAGCAAGGCAATAATCCCTGCTCTACTTCCCAAGGCATGTAGCCAGGACTGAGTGTTATCTCCAGGAAACCAGCTTCAACTATCCCACAGAAGCAGGGGCTGGTGGCAAACATCACACAGAGGACTGTCACGGGGTACACTGACTGCAGGAACCGACTGGACTCAGCCAGCCTTTGACAGCAGGGAGTGAGGAGGAAACCTCCAAGTAGTGACTGCTGCTCAGTCACGTGTCAGAGAAGCACATTCGGCCACCTCAGCTTTTGAACTTGTAATGAAAAAACAGCTCCAAGACAACAGCACAAGGGTCTAGTGAGATGTCATCTGTGGCCTCCAGCCAGGTTTATAGCAAATCAATATGAGGACTTCCTCCCACCAAGCTCCCATCTTTAACATTTCAGCTCAGGGATGCTAATTTGACTTTAATCGTATTCTATTATGTTTTATCGTTCCATTTGGTTCCAGTATTCCATTTGTTTATTCACTAGTTCAAATATTCACACAACTGATGGTTTCATAGTGAGCCATCCAGGCCCTAAAAATGATCAGAAATGCTCTTTAGTTAAATAAAACTCAATAAAAATTTTAAAAGGAGATTCTGGGCAACCTACTGAATATGGCCTAAATCCTGTCCTGATCTATATGAACAGGAACATTTCATGGATATTAAGCTGGCTTCCTGGCTCCATATACTGAGTACAGGGGTTAGGTTTAAAGGGGAGTCTTCCGTCTCAGGTAAAACAGTATCTTTGATCTATTCCACTTGAAGCATTAATATAAGCCAGTGGTTCTCCACCTTCCTAATGCTGAGACCTTTCAGTACATGCTATGGTGACCCACAACCATAAAATTATTACATTGCTACTTCATAACTGTAATTTTGCTGTTATGAATCATAATGTAAATATCTAATATGAATGATACCTGCTAGGAGGGGCATATGCCCCCAGAGGGGGCTGCAACCCACAAGTTGGGTATCACTGATATAAAACTAACACATTAAAGGCCGAGTTGTGAAGATGGCTTCTTATTAAGCATGGCACAGGGGCTAGAGAGATGGCTCAGTGATTAAGAGCACTTGTTGCTCTTGCAGAGGACCTGGGTTCAGTTCTCAGTACCCACATGGCAGCTCAAAAATATCTATAACTCTAGTTTTGAGGTATTTGACCCCTTTTCTGACTTCTGTAGGTACTAAGTACACATGATGCACAGACATATATGCAGGTAACACACTTATACATAGAAAATACATAATTTTAAAATACTAAAAGAAGGAAATGAAATGAATAAGCTTAGGGGATATGCTTTCAATTTTTAACTAAATTGAAGATGTATTTTTCTTAGTGACCCAGAATCCCATCCTTTTAGTCATCCTTAAGAAAGAATGTGGAGCTGGGCGGTGATGGTGCACATCTTTAATCCCAGCACTTGGGAGGCAGAGGCAGGCAGATCTCTGTGAGTTCAAGGTCAGCCTGGTCTACAAAGCTAGTTCCAGGACAGGATCAAAGAAAGAAAGAAAGAAAGAAAGAAAGAAAGAAAGAAAGAAAGAAAGAAAGAAAGGAAGGAAGGAAGGAAGGAAGGAAGGAAGGAAGGAAGGAAGGAAGGAAGTCTGTATGGGCTCAATACAGAGGCAGTTTTGGGAGAAAGAATGTGGAAAGAAAAAATGGACACAACATAAAAAATTGATTAGCATGGACTAATTAACCACTACTAATTAATTAAAACAACATGTATAGATCCAGACACTCTAGATTAAACCTCATAGGTAGAAAGTTGTAATACTGCCAAGATACAAAGAAAGAAGGAAACGAATCTATATAAATCAGTAATTTACAAAATATAAACAGAAATATACATCAATTATATAATACTCTTCTAATTTACTCTGTTGTGGTAATAAACACCATGACTAAAAACAACTTGTGGAGGAAAGGGTTAATTTGTTCATCATCCAGGGAAACCAAGGCAGGAATTCCAGGCTGTAACCTGGAGGCAGGAACCGATGGAGAAACCATGGAGAGATGCTGCTTAGTGGCTTGCTCTCCCTGGCTTTTTCAGGCTGGTTTCTTAAACAGCCCAGGTCCTCCCTAGGCATAGTACCGCCCACAGAGGGCAAGACCCTTCTCCATCAGTTAGGAGTCAAGAAAACACCCCATAGATATGCCCATCAGCCAACCTGGTGAAGGCAATTCTTCAACTGATGTTTCCTCTCTCTGGGTATCTCTAGTTTGTATAAAATTTATAACAAAAACTACCCAGTATACACACTATGTATATGTCACTTAAAAGTGTCAAAGGTTCCGAGTGACAAACATAACTGGGGACAAGGACTAAAAGCTTATCAGTTCTCTCATTAATGTTTTGCTTCCTAACGTAAGTGGTGGATACACAGGCATTCTTTGCATTAATCCTCATAGCAGCTTGTAAGCCCAAATTATTTCCTAATAAATTCTGTACTACAGCACTCCACCTGTCAAAAGGCTAATCCTGTGCTCACTGCAGTAAACAAGACCTGCTGCCTCTGCCAGTGCAGCCAAGCTTCTATTGTTCCTCTCACTAAGACAACAGACCCTCCACACAGGGAAAAGACTATCAGAGAAAAACAAGAGCAAATTCTTCCCCTTCCAGCATCTTCATCAGGCCAGTCCTTTCGTCCTTTGCGTTTTCACGTAGTTGAGATCAGTCCTTTGCGTTTTCACGTAGCTGAGATCATACTGGATCATACTGGCTCTTCCTTTCCTGCAGACTACAATCATGCCCACTACACACTCAGTCTGCAATCACCGCCAGTAACCCTGCTCCGAGTCACAAGCACAGGGCATTGTGGAAGCATCAGAGGAGCCAGGGCCTGGGAACACTGAACTGGGTAGAGAGCCAGAGTCAATCATGGAGTATTGTGGAAGCGGGGCAGACAGTAGGGCGGGTCACAGAGGTTCTGATGAATGTCTGGAAGGGCTGCAGCTTTCTGCACACTTGTACATGAAGGACAGTAGCAGAGGAAGAACTGGGGTTACCATAGAGCCCACAGCCAGCACTATCTCTGCAGCATCCCCATGCCCACAAGAGTCTGGAAGCATTTGTAAAAAGATTTGTGGTGCCCAGGTGATGGAGTTAGAATGTAGGGGGGCTCAGCAAAGCCAGACCACAAGGGATTTATACACAGGCTAAGATGTGTGGCCTATGGACTAATTGCCTTCAACTGGAAATGGTACCAGAAGCCAAGTAAAACCTGAGGCATCAAGGCCTTTCCAAAAATGGGACTATAGAAACTGTCTTGGGGACAGGATTCATTTGGTAGCGTTATCCAGAACTGGGTGGTGGGGCTGAAGAGAAAGGGAGTTGGATAATGAAAGACATTACTGACATGCTTCTTGGCCCCACCCGCTCTAGATTAATCTAGTTTGTTGCTGGAGAGAGTGCACATGCTTACATTCCTGCCGCTCTTTACATATGAAATAAGAAATGTTTTCTACACATGACCTGAATGTTCCCTCAGGTGAGCCACACTCTGGCTGAAGCCAGAACTGATCCCCATAGCCTTCTCTGGCATGTCACCCAGCCGCCTGACTCTGCTGCCCGGGGGTAAGCCCGGGAGCTGTCCCCTCTTTCCTGTGCACTTTGGCTGTTATTTTTCTAAACTCACTAGTTTGCCTTCAGCAAACATGGCCATGGCTTGCAGTGATCGACAGGATTTCTCCTGTGCCAATAAATGGATGGCACGGGAAGTACACACATATCAGAAGCCATACACTGCTCTGAAAATGTTCTCCTGAGGTCTTCATGATAACAAGCTTTGGGCTCGCCACAAACAACAAAGTATACCTCATAAATATAATCAAAAAAGGAAAATTCACTTTGCTAGTCTATAATTTACAACAAATTCACATAAGTAAACCTTTTAAACATTCCTTGCTGGGGATGGGTATGGTGGTGCACATTTTTAATCCTGGTATTCAAAAAGCAGAAACAGTTGGGTCTTTGTGAGTTCAAGGCCAGCCAGAAATATATAGTGAGCCCCTATCTTTAAAAAAAAAAAAAATATCCCTCTTTTCAGCCATGCTTGCTGACAGACTCACCTCCATGGGCCATCACTGCCATGGGCCATGTGATCCAAGGATCCAAGGACAGAGGAAAGACAGCACTTCCGTGTTCCCCCACACATACATACACACAAAAAAAACATAAGGTGCACCTGCATACTGTGGACTTTGCTGAGTGGCATGGCTATATTAAGGGCATTATAAAGGATATCGTTCATGATCCTGATTGTCGAAGTGTCCCCCTTGTGAAAACAGTCTTTTGTGATCCCTACCGATTTAAGAAGCAGATGGGGCTGTTCACTGTTGCAGAGGGAATCCACGTTGGACAGGTTGTGCACTGCAGCAAGAAGGCCCAGCTGAATATCGGCCATGTTTTGTGTGCTGTTGGGAGGAGAAGTCTGGGGACAGGAGCAAGGTGGCACCAGTCTCCAGGAACTATGCTAGTCATCTCCCACAGCCCGGAGACTAAGAAGACCCAAGTGAAGCTACCTTCAGGGTCCAAGGTCATTGTCTCAGCCAATAGAGCTGTCCTTGGTGTGGTGGTCAGTGGGAACACAACTGACAAACCTAGCGCACACACTGCCCATGGGTATCACAAGTACAAAGCTAAGGGGAAGTGCTGGCTATGTGTACGGGATGTGGCCATGAACCCTGGGGAGGTGGGAGCCACCAGCACACTGGCAAACCCTCCTGTCGGAAGAGATGCCCCAGTATGTGCACAGTGGGGCTCATGGCTGTCCGCCAGACTGCATGACTCCATGGAACCAAAACTGTGCGAGAGAAGGAGAACTGGAACCTGGGAGCTAATAAAGTATGTCTTTTGGGCTAATAAGTAAAAAATCTTTCTGGGGATGATTCAGGGGATTAAGAGCCAGCCACACAAGCACAGGGACTTGAGTTTGGCTCCTCAGAACCTACATGAAGACCAGACTCATTAGGCAGAGACAGAAAAGCCTAGGGAAAGATGGCCAACTAGGCTTACCAAATTGGTGAGCTAGCAGTTCAGGGAGAGACCCTGCTTCAGTGCATAAAATGGAGAGCAAATGAGGAAGACACGATATCACACACACACACACACACACACACACACCTGCACACATGTGCACCCATACACATGCAAATGGACATGTGCACACTCACCATATCACATATGTGTAAGGATAATAAAAGTTCATTACTTACCTATGTCATGTTTCCTTGATTGACGACTCTGCTCCAAATCCTGTATTTAAAATGAAAGAGACATAGATGAACTCCATCATATAACTGAACTAGTAACACGGTGAATAATAATGATGAATAATCTGGGTTAACACGTGGTAACCAGGACTTGAGATTGAAACTAAAATGCTTCCCTAAACTAAGGAGGCTAGAACAGTAAAGGGCAAAGCAGGAAACATGAGCGTCTATCTGCCTTGCTCCAGAAGTTCTACAATAAGGTTGTGCCTTTAAAATCTCTTTATTTTTATTTGAAGTGTGTGAATGTTTGCTTGCATGTATGTATGTGCATCATACGTGTGCAGTACTTGATGGGACCAGAAGGGGGAGTGAGATCCCCTAGAACTGGAGTTACAGATGTTTGTGAGCTACCATGCAGTTGCTGGGAATCAAAACCAGGTCCTCTGCAAAAGCAGATAATGCTCTTAACCTCTGAGCCATCCTCCATCTTGGGCTGTGTCCTTTGTATGTGATCTTAGGCAAGTCATTTATTTGGGTTAAAAGCTATTCCTCCTGTATAAAATTACGTTTCAGGTAACGTTAATTCTAAAGGCCTTGTCAACTCTAAGAAACGATAAGAATGCCAGACATAGTCTGAATGCTGGCAGGGCCCACCTCAGGATGAAAAGGTCTCCCTGCTAGTGTCTTAATCTGTTGAGCTCAGACATGCTGTATGGTGTTGCATGAGAATGGCCCCCATAGGCTCATATATTTGAAGCTGGGTCACCAGTTGGTGGAACTGCTGGGAAGGATCATCAGATGTGTCACTGGGTGGGGATGGGCTTTGAGGTTACAAAAATCCTTCCTAGTGTCTCTGTCTCCTACTTGTGGATCAAAGGTAAGCTCTCAGCTACTACTCCACCACCATGCCAGCCTGCCTGCTGCCATGCTCCTCACCATGATGGTCACAGACTCTGGAACCGTGAGCCCCAAATCAAATGCTTCCCTTGGTAAGTTGCCTTGATCATGGTGTTTTGTCTTCACAATAGAAAAGTAACTAAGACACAATGTCATAAAGAATGTTAATACATAGAGCTGGAGATATGGTTGAGCAGTTAAGAGCACTGTCTGCCTTCCAGAGGACCCAGGTTCAATTCCCAGCACCCACATGGCAGCTCACAATTGTCTGTAATCCCGACTCCAGGGAATTTGACACCCTCACACAAATATACATCCAGGCAAAATATCAATGCACATAAAATAAAAATAAATAAATCATTTTTTAAAAGAAAGTTAATACATTCTTCCTTGCCTAAAAAGCACCCTAAGGTTCCACAAAGAGTCTTGGAGGAAGACAGAAGATGGCAATTACAATGGTTTGTATGTATTTCTCAAAAGATGTATTGAAAATGCCATCCCAAGCTAGGTGTTGTGGGCACACAAACTTTATTCCCAGCACTAGGGAGGCAGAGGCAAACAGATCTCTGAGTTCAAAGACAGCCTGGTCTACAGAATGAATTCCAGGACAGCCAGGGTTTGTCTTGCAGTGGGGAGGAGGGCTCAACCTTCAAGAGGTAATGGATGCACAGTGCCATTGTGGGAGTGAGTTCACTATCAAGTGTGGATGTGTTATACATTCAAGTCCAGCCCTCTCTTTCTCTGGCACTCCTTGCCCTTCTCTGCTTTCTGCTATGAAGTAACTCAAGAAAAGGTCTGCATCCTATACCTTGGACTTTACAGCCTCTAGAAGGATAAGAAATAAGTGGCAGTTCTTTATAAATCCCTCAGTCTCAGTCATTTTGTTATAGTAAACACACATAGCTACTAGAACTCTTGGGCATGGAAGGCTGCCTCAGGGCTGGGGGGCCCAGGTCATTCACAGATAACTTGATTCTAACACTGAATAATTCATTGGAGACTCACAACCACTCTAACAAAGCGCTATGTCAACAGCTCAACCTGACATTGCCAGTACCTTCTCTTCAGACTAGGACAAAGTTTCCTTCCTATGCCAGGTGTTGGTGGTACACAACTTTAATACTCAGGAGGTGGAAGCAAGCAGATCTCTGTGAGTTCGAAGCCAGCCTGGTCTACAGAGGAGTTCCAGGACAGCCTCTAAAGCTACAGAGAAATCCTGTCTCGAAAAACCAAAAGAAAAAAAAAAGTTTCCTTCCTAACTGCTCATTTTTCATTTTTGGCATGATTTGTCCATAATTATGACAATTAGACACTACCAATATCCTTCGATTCTCTTACAGGCCGAAATAAGAAGCAGTTGTGAGCCTTTACCAATAAAATTTGGAGCCACTTCAAAGCTAAGGCAAAGCCACAAAGAGAGATGTCCTCAAAGAATGGCAAAGGGACCATGAGACAGGCAGAGACAGAGCTAAAGCAGGGGTGTGACTTGACAGGCTGCATTTTATGAAACTGTCCTTGCCTCAAGAGCAGAAAGGCCACTGAGTAGAGAAGATGCCCCTGCTGATGCTGCTCTGTCAGATCCCAGGATAAACAACCATTAAATCAATTGACTTTGGAAGAATCTACTGAGACTGGGAAGTTCAAACCCTTCTCTGCAGGTGTTCCAAGCCAGGTTAGTATCCCAAGCTGGCCTGAGCAGACATCAAGAGGCCACACCTGATCAGGAGACCTTGCCACTCTCAGTGCAGCCAGGCTGCACACAAGGACACCACTGGCTCCCACCATGGCTGCTCCTGAGGTCCCTGCTTCTTCTTATTAAGCCACAGAACTGCCTGTTGTGTGGTTGGTGGGGAAACAAAATATTTAGAGGAAGAAACAGCACCAGAGATGATTACAGCTCATGTTCCCCATTTCCAAACAAGACAATCATTTATCATTTATGTGTCATTGGCCACAAATCCAGGATTAACACCTGGGTCTTCCTAGTCCCTTCCTGCCTACAGCACCAGCCTGGAAGTCTTTGGGAAAACAGTCAATACAATGAACATTTGTGCACAACCGGAGTCACCTCCAACAAAGTGATAGATGAAAACCATCCAGACTCATAGTTCCAGACAGTGACATTTCGACAGCCCCAGACACTTGCTGGACTTGCCACCACACAGCTTTGCGACATCAGAGAAGATCAACCCGGATCACGTATCTTCTTAGGTGGCATTAAGTCTGTAGCTCAGACTGGCTGGCACAATAGCTAGGGAAATAATTAGCTTTTTCAAACAACTCAATCTATAAACTGTAAAAATAAAATGCCCAAGGAGCCGTTGAGTTGGGTAGATTGAAACAGAACCAAAATAGTCTTGAGTCATTTCCCCTTTGAGAAAGAAAATTGGGCTAAATGAAGGAATTGACAGAACATTTAAAATCCTGTCTTACGCTTCCCTCATGAGAAGGCTTTTCCAAGGAGGAAAGTGCAGGCCTTGTTTTATGATCTCTAATGCCACAAGTTTCTTCCACTGACTACCAATATTAATCAAAATATGTGCTAGCTTGTGAAGGCTGCACATCAACCACTAGACAGACAAGAAAGAGATCTGTTATTAGCCCGTCTAACCCACATACAGCTCCGAACAGAGACATGACGACATGACCAAGTCAACCTTTCTACCTGGGTTTCATTTTCTTAATGCACAGAGCTTTGAACAGTGACAATTCAAAACATAATGCTTAGTGTGCAAGTTCTTTACATAAGAATGATAGGAGAGGCTGAGCGGTTAAGAGCACTGACCGCTCTTGCAGAGGATCAGGCTTCAGTTCCCAGCACCCACAGGACAGCTCCCAATCATCTGTAATTCCAGTTCCAGGGTACCTAACGCCCTCTTCTGCCCTCTATGGGCACTGCACCCATGTGATGAAAATGCATACATACGGGCAAAACACACACATAAAAATAAAATTTAAAAATCATTTTAATGTGTAAGCTCT